TGCCGTTCCCTATTGGCAGCAGCCCCCGTGCGTCACCGCCGCGCGCCAGCAGACGCGCCGCTCACCACGTCGCGAGTGCAGGCCCGGCCCTCCGTTCCAAGTGCTTCCGGCGGGGACTGGGCCGAGCCCGGAAACGGAACTAGCCGACGAGGACGCGGGGCTGAGCCGCGGTCACCTCGTTGCGGGCCATCCCAGGGAGCCGGGGACCGCGGCCCGAGTGGGCTGGGCGGATGGGAGCGCGAGGGCCCGCTGCATGGGCGTCTGTGAGCAGGCGATCGAGCTCGCGGGCCGACCCTCAGGGCCTCGGCGGGTGGCACGTCGGCGCCCCTAACCAGATGCCTGAAGGGCTGGCGGCGGCGGGCACCGAGGGTGAAAGAGAAGACCTTTGGGGAAAGAGTCCAGACTGTGAGAAGATCTACTCGGACTAACTGATCTCTGCAAAGGGGGGGCGGACGCCGTGGCCGGATCCCGGTAGAGGGGCCAGCCCGGAGCACCCGGTCCTCGGGAGCGCTTCTGGGAAGCACCGCGACTGTGCGGTTCGCGGCCTGGCCCGGCACCGTCCCACCGGATCCTAGGAACGCTGTGCGGTAGGTGTCACCACCCCCACTTCACAGACGGACAGGCCGAGGCCCAGAGAGAGGCAGCGACCAGTCTGAGGGCCGTGGCGGGCAGCCTCCTTGGACACCTGTCTCCAGGGCTCTGCAGGCCGGGGAGGTGCCGGCCCTGGCCGCTGACGCCCGAGGACCGGCGCGGATAGACCTGCCCCAGGCCCCGGTGGGGGAAAGCAAGACGGTGTTTTCAGCAAGATGGTCTTATACCACTTAGAGGACTTTGTTAAAAAAAAATCATGCGTTTCCAACTTTTGAGGGGAAAGGGGGCAGTTAAAATTCCCTTTTACACTGTCCTTCCTTAGAAAATTAGAAAGTAGCAACCTACCTTGATCCCCCAAATGTTGGGGGGTATCTTAGCTTATCCTTGTGTTCTCAAAGGCAGGCAATATCTGTATCCTGAGGCTGACTGGATACTCGTACACAGGTGTGGTAGTCTCTGCAAGTGGGGGCAGGGGCAGCAGTGGCCTGTCTCAAAGCTCAGGTCTGAGAAAGGGAGGTGCTGATAGGATGCCAACCTCCACACCCTAATATCCTCCAGCTGGGCCTACTGCTTTGTCACAGAGTAGTGTCATATCCTCAGGACATCCACCTGACAGCAGAGGTGGCCAGGGTGAGAACACAGGCACAGTGGGGTTAGGAGAGTAGCTACTCTGCAGCACAGCTGAGTGTCAAACAGTTCCACTGACGTTTTTCGGGTTTTTTTTTTTTTTTTAAGCTTTTATTATTTTTGTCCTCACAATTCTGGGATAGGGACTTTAATCCCCCAAATGGGGTCATGTGCACTGGAGTGAAGAGGTTAGCCCAGAGCCATACAGCTTTAAGTGGCAGGTCCGGGGTTCAACCTCACACTGCCCCCAAAGCCACTTCACCTGCTACCCTTTCCTTGGGAGGGTGTTTGTGTCATGTACCAAACCTTTGTCAGAAATCTCTGCTGGCTGTGAAACTGGTTCTGCAGGTTGGAAGGAATGTTCCTGGACCCCTTGGTTTGCCCTCAGAGGCTGCCCCTGTTAAGGAGTAGCCATTTTTTCATTTGTGAAATTAAGCAGTGATGAACAAGATGACCTCTTCTGGAGTGAAACAACTAGAAAACTAAAGTCTTAATTTATGGTTTCAGGGACAAAGGGTGGAGAAGTAAAAGATTATCACCTTATGGTCAAAGGAGAAAAATTAAAAAAAAAAAAAAAAAAAAAAAGCAACCAGTAAGACAGCCTCAGGCCTGAATAGAAAGCTAGCAGCCTGGGGTGGGCTGCCAGAGAGACTCCTGAGTCTCTGGGCCATGCCATGGAAGAACTACAGATTTTTTGTGGGGGACAAAGTCACTGAGATGGAGGGCTTCTCTGGGGCAGGTGAGATCTGGATTAGACAGGATAACATCCCTTGATGTCTCCCCTGCCCCCCCGCCCAGACTGTCACCCAAAGCTAGCAGGTGGCCCAGAATGAATGAGAGACAGATGGAGGTCCCACCAAATGCAGCAGGTGGTGTGGTCAGTTTCCATGCACAAGATCAACCCTGCGGCTGTGCCCTGCCCTGTCCCGCTTCCCTGCAGTCTGGCTGTGGGGTCCGGGATTTCCTGGCTCATCGGGAATTTAGGAGACGGCTGATTGGCTGTGAAGATGCTTATGAGAAACGATTCTCAGACTGGTTTGTGCAAATGTTTTTTTTTTTTTTTTTTTTTTTTATTTCCACATTTATATCACAAGGTGTCCACTTACTGGACCAAATAGCAAAGTTGCTCCCTTCTGCGCCCTGAGAACACAGAAGTCTAGGTACTGTACATTCACTAAGGCTCCTTGTTTTTGCAAATCGCGTTTATGACAAACAACCATAAGGCAAACAAATCTAAAGGAATGGTTATGAGTGTTTCCAGCGTACAGACAGGTCTCCCTCTCACCCAACGGTACAGCTCACACCCCAGTAGCACCCGCGGTGGTTTTTGTGTTGTTTGGCAGGGGGGACCTCTAGAAAAGTGAAATTTTCTAGGTATGTGCAGGAAGGGAAAAGGGGAGGAAGAAAGGAAAGTTATTTGGCTGGTGGTCAGATGGAACAGGGGGAGAAAATAAACTTGAGAAAACTTAAATTTTTTGCAGCATTTCTTTAAAAACTGAGTTTTTAACTGAAACCAGATACAAATGGGTGGATGCCCATGGAGTGTGGGTCAAACTGGCTGGCCACTTGGCTGGCTTGCCACAGCCGAGAAGCTTCCGGCACACAGAAGGAAACACTGGCTTGACAGTGGCTGGGGGTGCAAACAGAGGCCACGGCGGAGCCCACCGTCTCACAGACATTCGGGCCAAATTAAAGAACAAAATGCAAACAGATGAGATGCGTGCTTCTGTTGCTGTGTTACAGGTGACCTCTCCCACAGGTTTTCTGTGCCTGCCTGCAACTGAGGTCCCAGCATTCTGGTGCTGGAAAAAGTCCACACCTCTCCCGGGGTGGGGGACTAACGCTTTTATAGCTGGCTTGCTATAGAGTTCTGAACTCACGGTGCCATCCTTCCTTCCACACGGTCCTTCCTTTGCACTTTTGTTAGTAAACTGGTAGCAGCATTTCACAAAAGAAGGAGAGTTTTGAGGGAAGAGTGCAGAGACACCGCGTGACTCCCACCCCTCCCTCCCGCCCCGGCCGGACTCCCGGGTACCCAACTGCTGAAGGCGGCTGGGCCCCAGCCACCCGCCAGCCCCAGCTGCCACAAGGTGGGAATGCACTTTGTGGCCGAGGGGCTGGTCAGTCCAAGCAGACATAAGGCAGAACGTTCAACCGCCCGTCGTCACCGTGCGGGTCGAGTGATATGCACTGCGTCCAGTCATACCAGTTACCCTGTGTGTCCTGACACCCGTTCACCCCCGGCCACTGGTGGGCCTGGATTCTGTCAAGATCGTCCTGTGTGACATCCCGGGTCAGCCCTGGCAGGTCCACGGGCAGGCCGTGGGGCACCAGCACGTGTGGCTTCCTGGCCCCACGCCGGGTGCTCTCCTCCTGCTTCAGGTACTCAGACATGAAGTGGTGAGCCCCCGGGGTCTGCGCGCCCGATGACGAGAGCAGGCTGCTCTGCCGGCTCAGATAGGACTGGATGATCTCGTTGCGCGACAGCTCCTTCCAGTTCGTCTGTTCAAAGGGGCTCTGGAGGCTGGCCTTGGCCTCCTGCTTGTCCAGCTCTGTCCTGGGCAGCTGTTCTGTGTGCACAGGGCTGTCTGCCCTCACTGGCTCTTTCTGGGTCAGAGGTTTGATCTGCCTCGTCATGGGGTCAAAGGTGAGCTTCCGTTCTTTTAACCGCACAGGCTTGACACCTGCCTCGGCCACCTGCCCGTCCAAGTTTACTGTGTAGTCTCGAGGCCGGTACCTCTTCTTCTTTTTACTGTCTGAGCCACCTGAAGAGGCAGCGTCGCTGTCCGCCTTGGAGGAGTCTGGGGAGAAGCCTGCCCGGGGCAGGAGGGGCTCAGCCGGGGACAGCCCTGCCTTGCAGCCTGGCCCCGCCAGCCGCTGGTGGCCCTCGGGCTGCTCTAGCCAACGCACTGGGCTCTCTGCGCCTGGCAGCAGCTCGAGCCGCCGCACAGGGGGTGTGGACGGCTGGGCCAGTGGAAGTGGGGACGGCACCTGTGTGGCATCAAGGGACTGGGGCCGTGGTGAGGGGATGGGCACGGAGCCCTTGGGTGCGTATGAGCTCTGCTGCCGGGAAAAGGGGCCCTCGTGCCGTGAGTTCCGGGGACTGAAAGAGCAGTGAGGGAGCCCCTTGGGGTGAGGAGGCCCTGGAGTCTCGTCCACCCTGTCCAGCTGCTGCAGCACTGAAGGCTTTATCTGCAAGCAGGGGCCGGGGGGCTTGCCCAGGCCTGGGGAGCTGGTGTGCGGCCGGACGGCGTTGACAGGGATCTTGCCACTGTGCTTGTCATTCTCACCGCGCTCCAGGCGGCTGCCCTCAGCGCCCACGTGCCCACTGCCATCCAGGGGTCCAGGGAAGCTCTCCGGGCTGCCGCTGATCCCGTTGGTGGGGAGGGGGGATGAGTTAGGGACCAGGGGGTCATGGCTGGCTTTGGAGACCTTGGGAGGCGGCCCAGGATGGCCGAGGTCACGCTGGTCTCCCCGGCGCTTGCGGCTTCCCAGCCTGTCCAGCCGCTGCCCGGGCAGCCTCTGGATGTCGTTGCGGTTCTTCAGGTCGTGGATGCTCTTGGGTGTGCCAGCCGCCCCCGCCTCCGGCCGGCAGTTATGGGCACCCCCGTTGGCCGAGCTGGCAGCCCCTGCCAGCCCCCGCAGTGCCGCCTCATTCTGGTGAACGGGCTCAATGAGCTTCTGCCAGCCCCGCAGCAGCTTCTTGGCCCGCCGGGCGAGCTCCTCGTTCTTGGTCTTCTTGCGGACGTCGTTGATGAGCTTCCCAAGGCGCGTTTCCTACAACCAGAGACACAGATGGACACTTCTGAGACAGGGACATCCCCATGAAAAGGGTGCTGAGCCAGAAAGGGTGGAAAGCGCCCCTGGCTTTGAAATGACCCCTCCCCCACTAACCCCTGAGCTGCCACAGCTTCCCCGACACAGAACCAATGAGGATTTCTGGTCCTCTGTAACAACAGAAATCCTCAAACCCAGTTCTTAAGAACTTAAGATCACAAGGACGCAGGTGGCTTTCTCAGAAGCATGGTCCCCCAGGCTCCCAGCACCTGGAGGCTGTGGACCATCAGGGCCACTGCAAGGACACTCTTGGGATGACAGCATGCAGTGGTCAAGGCAACAGCACAGAGGACCTGGTCCTCAAGCGGAGGTCCAGGGACAGCGTCACTCACTGGAGCCTCCTCTCCTGCAAGCATGCCTCTGCCAGTATCCCCACATGCCCCCGTGGTGTCAGGGCGCAGAGGACAGAGTCCAGTTCTGGGATTAACACCACCCCATGCCTGCAGCACAAAGCGCCTCACTTGGTCCTCGGAAGACCTCACTGGACTAGTGAGGAAGGACCCAGGTGGGGCTGCCCTCCCCCTCCCAAATGCTTGAGCCCAGGGACACTCACCTCCAGTGCTTCTTTGGTAATGGGGTATTTCTCCAGGCTGGAGATGACTTCCAGCACTGCCACCATGTTCCGGATCTGCAAAACAACAGCCATTCATCAGGCCCCCACCCTTCTCTGGAAGGCTGGGAAGCCCAATCCAGCCTGTTCAGTCTTTCCCTCCCCTAGAGCAAGAGAGGCTGGCACCACAGAATTCCCCACCCTATGTCACTTCCTATGTGCTCCCTGGGGCCAATGTGACCCCCAGCACTCCCCGTCAACCCAGTGCCTGACCTCTTCCAGTGCATGGCATGCAACTTGCCCCAGCCCCTCCTCCGTGCCCACTTGCTGCTGAAACTCAGGACGCTTATGAAACCAGATCTGCTCCTGATACCTGAGATGAGCTCGACCCTGCCATCTGATGGAAGCGGGGGTGGCACTGAAAGATTTATCAAATAAAATACACACAAGCCTAGAAAAAAAGATCAAGACACAGTAAGCCACAAAGAGAGAAAAACGCCACAAAAGTGGGAGACGACACAGGCCAGGAGGCCCTGCAGAAGAGGTATCTGGAGCATCCAGGGAACGCCTGGGCAGTAAGAAGGCTGACAAGGGCCCAGTTAAAGTGGTCAGAAGACAAGAACAGGCACCTACAAAACAGACGACAGCAGTGCGATGCTCATCTTTATTAGTCATCAAGGAAATGCAAACTGAACCCACACGTGGGTTGGTGAGCTCCACGCCCCGCTGGCAGAAGCGGTATCTGACGACTCTGGGGGCTCTGCAGCAAAGTGGAGCATGTACACCTCCCACGACCACACAGCCCGTCCCTTTTACCACCTCGCTGCGAGCCAAACCCAGCCCTAAGCACCTTCCACGCGCTACTAACTTGCTTGCTTGCTGCAGCAGGCCCACGGGCTGGGTGTGCTGTCACCGCATTGCACCGAGGCAGACTCCTGCCGTGTGAGCCAGGAAACAGTGCGGAGTGGCACGGGTCATGGTGGTCGAATGCTAGAACAACACGGGTGTCCACCAAGGGTCAGGGGAGCAGACTGATCATTTCAAGAGGAATCTCACAGCAACAGAAACAGGCTAACCACAGCCTCAGCGAATCAACAAGGACAATGTGAAAACTAAAACTCTAAAGCTTCTGGAAGAGACACAAGATCTTTGCAACCTTGGGATAGACAAAAATATTTCTTCTTGGAGCCCCAAAGCACTGTCTAGGAAAAAGTACTGATAAAGCATATGAATTAAAATGAACAACTGCTTATGAAAAAACAATGTTCAGCCTGGGGGACTATGCTGCCAAAACATGCCTGGTGAAGAATGTGGATCCAGAAGAGATAAAGAACTCCACAGGTACCTGGTGGGCTAGCCAGCAGGTGGGAGCCCACCGGCCCCTGAGGAAGCCCCCTCTGCTCTCCACGAAACTCACACACACTATGACAGAGTTATGCAGGCACACGACAAAAAGCACGTCTCCCACCCAGCCACTGTTGCGTTTCCTTACATGTTTTCCAGAAACACCCCTTGCATATACAAATGCAGACACACACAGCTATCTCACGGTGAGGAGGCCGGGCCCAAAGGGACAGCATGCCATCTGCTCCTGGTCCTGGGGCTCCAGCACCAATGGGGCTCCTGGGTTTGCTACATGGCCTCGTCTCCACTCACCCATGACCTCGCCCTGGTATATTTAGAGCCCTGGGTCCCCACATACTCCTGAACCAGCAGTCCCTGCAGAGCGGAACACTGCCCAAACCCAGCTAGCCAGGCAGCACAGAGTGTCCTTGTCCTTGAGCAGACACCATCCTGCTGCCAGACAGGAGGGAGGAGGCAGAACACCTGGGCAACCCCAGGGTCTGGCACTGAGCTGTGCCCCAGAAATCAGCACTGAACCTACAGACAGCCACAGAGCCTCCTGGAAACTAGATGGGAGCTGGGGACGTGGGATGAAGGTCTGAGGGCCCTGCCTGCGCGCTCATGTGTCCCCCCGCCCCGCTCGGGGCTGCCTGAGGAGCTGCATTCAGGCATGCGCAGAAAGGCTTTCAGCGTTCAGGGCCCTTGGTCCTATGATAAATGCTACATACTCTGCGGTGCCCTCTCTGCCGCCAGTGTGCAGGCCACTTTCCTGAGGAGTAAAGGAGGCTAGGCAGAGTGAGAGGATGGGTGCCCAGCAGGGCCACTCAACCAGAAGGAAGAACTGAACCACTGCCATCATCCCAGGAGACTGCCTGTCTGCCCTGTTTCTGGGTCACTCTGGTACCTATCTGCGTGGGAATACACTCGATCCTAATCCACAGCACACTATTCTGCAGTGGCCGCCCTCGGAGGATGGCTTTAGAGCAGCTCCACGTGCTCATCCCGGTGCATATGGTGGCCCAAGGGTCATTTACAGCCTCTTGCTATCAGGAATAGTCTGGTGCATCCGTGGCCCTTTCTTCCTCTGGATTTCTCCCTTGGGATTCATTCCCAGTTCAAAAAGACCTGTCCATGCCCACTGTTTTCCTCAGTTTGGCCAGTGGCTGCGGGAAGTGCCTGCGAAGGTGGCAGGAGTGGGAGGAAGGTGGCAGCATAACCTGAGGGCAGGCTGCTCTGGGAAAGGCAGGGGGCCAAGCAGGGAGGAGCACTTGGGGAAGTGGCCAGGACCCCTGACCTGCTGTTCCACAAGCAGGACAGGAAGTTAGCGGGTGGGCCCAGGTTTAACCCTGTTATACACACAGGCCCACCCCAGCCTCCTAGGAAGTGAATGTCGATGGAACTGACTCCTTAACTATCACACTGAATACGTGCAGATCCATGCAGTGCAACCCAGTACACATGAGATAACAGGAAAGTGAATGTCAATCCCACGTTTCTGGAATCTCACAGAGAGACCAAGAAGGCCTGGTCTCGGGCCAGATGCCTTGTGGCCATCGGAAATACTGAGGTTTGCGTCCAGAAGAGGGCGAACCAGCCGGGCCCCCAGAACAGCACTTGGGCACACAGGTGCCCACCGGCAGAGCACTCATGTTGCTGAACATGCCCTCACTCACACCGAAGGGATGCTCCAGGGACACAGGGAGGGGACAACCCCTCACTCAAGACCACACAGATGACAGTGTTCCCAGGGCTTTTATGTGGTCGTCCCACAACGAGAGAATCAAGAGCAGGTGCAAAGTCCCCCAGAAAGCTTCCAGAAGGGCTAGCACGTTTGTCCCTGGAGAGTCCTTCAGCCCATGCTAAGCTACTACTCCAGTCAGCTTAATCAGGGACATCTGCTGCTTAGCTCACAGCAAGTGTGAGGAAAGAAGCAGGGCTGGCCACGCACAGGGGCGAATCCAACAGAGAGGACGGCAGCCAACCCTCAGAAGCAGCCTGGGCTAGGGTCTGGTGCGCAGGCACCACACACCTGCTCGCCCGACCCCAGCAAAATCCCGTCCTGCATGCCCCAGGTCACAGGGAGCAACGGCTGACGAACCAACTCCACAGCATGCTGCCCTCCATGCAAACTACCAAAGACACACTGCATCTCACCTTCTCGTGACATGTTTTAGAATATTCCCTTAAGAGATGGTGTGATCTGGAACCTGCTACAGAATAATCCACGCGGTGTAGGTGGCAGGATGGGGATGGATGAAACAATGTTGATCTGCTGTAGACAGGTATCTACTGAAGTGGGGCTGGTTACCTTATTCTCTCCACTTTTATGTTTGAGTATGGCACAAATAGGGAAGGTTAGAAAACATGCCTGTTCTAGCATTTGGAAGGGAAATTTCACTGGATCTAGAAGGAACTGGCAGCTGCTCAGAGATGATATGAGCAAATACCTGTCTCTAAGTCCTCGCAGTGGCCCCATGCTCCCACTATCTGGTGCCTTCATGGACAAGAGGGCCAAGGACTGGGGAGGACCCTGTTTTCCTGCACAGTGAGCCTGTCTCGAGCCTCCTAACCTCTGATTCAAATGACATGGCATATTCTATCTGATGAACACATCAGCAGCACCTCACCAAGCCCCCTACAGGCTATGGAGTGGCCACTCAACAAAACCAGTGCAAAAACAACACACACTCCTAGGGCTGCAAAGAGGGGGCTACAAAAGCCAGTGCCAGCCCCTACAGGCTATGGAGTGGCCACTCAACAAAACCAGTGCAAAAACAACACACACTCCTAGGACTGCAAAGAGGGGGCTACAAAAGCCAGTGCCAGCTTTCCACCCCTGCCCACTCTCACAGGTGGTCTCAAGCTTCCCTGCTAACGGGGCCCACAGAGAGCCTGGGCTACAACACTTCCTTTGTGCTCTGAGAGGGAGCCCAGGATGGCCACAGCCACAGAGAGGGCAGCTGAGACCAGGAGGAAGGAGTTGGCAAGGGGGGGTTCCAGGTTTCCAACATGAGGGCAAAAGCCCCTGCCCCTCTATGAGAGGGCCTCTCGGGCACTGAGGATGCCCTGGTGTGTGCACACACCAGGCTGGAAGCCAGGCAGGAGGGGTCAGGGTTTGGGAGCACTTCACGGAGGGGCGTGGGCCAGGTCACTTGTCCTGAAAGGGCAGAAATGTGGCAAGGAGCCAACAGTAACCCACTGGCCACAGCTGAGCTGCAGGCTCAGAACTTTCTTCCTAAGCTTCCTCTGAAGGCCAGCTGGCGGCACTGCCCTGTGGCTGCTCTCTGAAACCTAATCACACCTTGGACCCCTCCCGAGTCCAGAAGACCAGACTCTTCAGAAAACCTGCCCACTCTGTGGAATGATCTTTCAAACCAAACCCTCACAGTAAAATATTTTCATTGGGCCTCATCAGGTGTCTGGGTTTTTCTTCTGTGAATCAGATGGCTGGATCCGGATGCCAAGCTGGGGCTAGCACAGCGGAGCAGACGCACCACTGACCAGCTTCCTCCTCACCCTATTTCAGGGCTACCTTGGTAAAACCCCCAGGTCCAGAGTAATGACAGCCTGTGGGGGATTTCCAGCCCTGATCTGAAAGAAGGAACTGAGATGCTGAGTCTGGAGTCCGAGTGGCCCCTCAGCTCACCACCCACTTTTCCTCCACATCTGATAGGCTCCCACCTGCCTGCAGTCCCCAGCCTCTGGGATTGAAGCTGGCGGTGTGCAGCTGTGATGGCAAAGGGGAATCCCTG